AGAGTGACTGGGCCAAGGTCACCCATGGCTTTCATGACCAAAGTGGGATTTAAACTCACAGACTCTTTGTTTCTAGCCTGGTGCCTTATAACCACTAGACCACTCAACCACTAAACTGCCACGCTTGTGAGTTCATTGAAGCCTGGCACTCCACAAGCAATTCCATCAACAGACACATTGATCTACAACCAGCCTACAAACCCCTCAGAATCCAAATCAATCACACATCCAACAGGAGACAGCACCAACCCACGCAAGCCCCCTCTTCCCCAGCAGTTCACCTTCCAATGACCCTGTCCTGATGTAATCTCCCCTTCACAAGACCCCTCACCAACCTCTCCCTGATGACTCATCCCTGACCCATTGATAATTCACACCCTCCAAAAGCCCTGATCTGAAGTAACCTCCCCATCACAAGATAAGGTATCAATGTGACATGTATTGTGAATGTGCTATACAATATGGTGAATTTGCAATTTTTATTAAGTAGTAAAGTGATTACAAAGAGAAAAACAGAGGGGCTGAATTATGCCTTTTTTGAATAATGAACTAAACTAGGTTCCAGGAAAAACCACTTTTAGAACATTGTATTTTGACAAACCAGTTCCTACACATGGTTATATTTGGAACATATTTTTTCTATCATGCTCTATCAGCTACGATCTGCATGAAAACTCTCATTCACAACTAAGGAAAACAAAGCCAGATTCCTGTAAAACACACAGCCACTTTAACCACATGAAACAGCCTTTCAAATGCTGGTGGACAAGTATTAGTAAAGATTTTCAAAGCCTCAAACCACAAAAAAGGAAAGGATGGCAGGATGTGAAGAGGTGACTTTGAAAGAGTGATGGGAAATTTGCCTTGCAATTTCACCCAAACCAACTTCCTCAAGGTGCATGTCATGAGTGCAATACAGAGCCTGTCCCACTTCTCATCTGTAGCAGAGGAGAACTTCCTGGTAGGACCAACGCAAATATAGATTTGTCATCCAACCCAAAGCTTATGTGACAATTCTGTACTTGTGTTGGTCCTACCAGGAGGTTCCTCTCTGTTACAGATGAGAAACGGGGCAGGCTCTGTATTGTCACCCAGCCCTAAGCTTATGAGACATGGAGAGCACTGGAGAGCACAACATGGAGAGCACAACAACAACCAAAAAAGTAGCTTTCACAAGCTGAATTAAAGTGGGAACTGGAGGGAACTCACCTGTCTAGCCAGACCCAAGAGGGTGAAGAAGAAAACGAAGAATGAGAATGCTCCCATTACCTTGGGCTCCTTCAGCACCCCAGGCCTGCAAGAATGGAGTTAAAGAGAACATCATTCATGATCTGTTTCTCTAGAATGACCTTCTGGAGCACAATATGTTCCTCTGGAGTTACCATACCAATTGCTTCCCTCAGATCATCTTTGTCAAAGTAATGGGAAGTTATTTCTAAACAGGCTGGGTCTTTATTCAGACTAGTCCTGTATTAAATATTATTCAGTTTAGTGAATTTGATGGGAGGGACCAACGTTAAATAAAAGATGATGGGAGGAAAAAAATCTTATCTTTCCACTTCCCAGTAGATTTTTTTTCTCTTTTTTTAAAGCTTTAACATGGTCCTGTCTGCATTGTCTCTTTCTTTGTCTTACTCCCTTTTTTACAATTATCAACCAACCATATAAAATTGTATAATCATCTGACCATTCTGTGGTCAAGGTCAGAATTACAATCTTGGAAGGTATCATAAAAGTCATCTAGACCAGCTTCCTGTTCAGTGCAGGATTTTCTAGAGCACCTCTGACCAATGGCCATATACAGCTTGCTTTGAAGACCTCTAGTAAAGAGATTTCTTGATATCTAGCCTGAATGTTCTTCCTCGCACTTCTAACCCATTCTGGTGGTCCTATTCTCTGGGACAATAGAAAGTAAGTCTGTTCTCACTTCTGTGTGACAGTCCTTCAGAGAATTGAAGATGGCCATCACATCTCCCTTCAGTCATGTTTCCTATAAATTAAAGATGACCAGGTGTAGACACAGTATTGCAAATGGAGTCAGAGCTTTGTCCCAAGGTGGTACAATGGCTTCTTGTGATCTGAACTCTCCTCTCCTCTAAAGGCAGCCTAAGATAGCATCTACTTTTTCAGCAACTGCATCACATCACAGAGAAGAGAAACAAGAATCATTAGGGGGCTGAAGGCTAAAGCATACAAAGAATGATTACAGAAATTGGGTATGACTAGTCTAATGAAAAGAAGGACTAGGGGAGGCATGATAGTAGTGTTCCAATATTTGAGAGGCTCTAACAAAAACTAGGGGATCAAACTATTTTTCCAAAGCACAAGAGGGCAGGATAAGAAACAATGGATGGAAACTAACCAAGGAGAGAAGCAACCTAGAACTAAGGAGAAAATTCCTAACGGTGAGAGCAATCAATCAATGGAATAGCTTGCCTTCAGAAGTTATGAGTGCTCCATCACTGGAGGCTTTCAAAAAGACACTGGACAACTATTCATCTGAAATGGTATAGGGTCTCCTGCTTCAGCAGGGGGTTAGATTAGAAGACCTCCAATGTCTCTTCCAACTTTATTATTCTATGTTCTATTGCTGGCTCAGATTTGACTTGTGGTCACCCACATTCTTTTCACAGCCAAGTAATACAATGGATTGTTGCATGGATAAAAAAAGATGGGAGGAACTAAGAAACATTTCATTGCTGCAACATGCATAGTACTCTTTTAAAACACAAAAAAGCCCATAGGCATCCATCAGTCAAGGTGATATAACCTTCACTCTCTATCATTGTTAGCAGAACTTGCACAGGAAAGACAACAAAAAAGTAGTCTCTTACTGGGATTTGTGATTCTTGTGAATGCCTTAATTTACATAGCCCGTTTTGCAGAAGAGATTGTACTTCTCCTTTTTCTGTAATTGAGGGCCAGTTGACCAAAATAGTTTTGCTCAGTGTCGGTTTCATTTATGTTTCATATCATTTTTGTTTAATTGCTTGTTTGTTTCATTTCAGTTTTTTTACAACACAAAAGTATGTATGTTTTGCAATTGTATGAACAAGATAAATCAGTAATGTTTTATCTATACTATTCCAATCTTTAATAACTTGAGGCTATGAATCAGGTTTTTTCCAAGTGTGGAAAAAAATAATATATTTAAGGACTACTATTTCCCTTAATTCTCATCTAAAAAAAAGAACAAAGTAGGAATGTCTGGAATAACCTCAACTCCACAAGTTATAGCTAAAATCCATCTGATGTGATAAATATCTAAGTGGTTCCTGATCATCTGAATTTGTTCCTCAATGAAATCAAGTTTAGGTTATTCGTGTCTGCTAGGAACTGTTGATATCAAAATAACTTTTCATCTAAACATAGCCCAAATGTTTACTATAAGCCAATTAAATTATTGGATGTAATGGTATGCTTCCTTCATCATCCATGAAAGATGAACATCCAGAAGAAACCATCAAAATCACATAATCTCAAGAGTATTTGTCTCAGTTCTACAGCAGCCATGCTGTAAGAACACATGAAGACACCTCTTGGATGAAACCAATGGCCTTTCTAATCCAGAATCAGATTTCCAACAGTTCCCTAGTCTGATGTTTTGGGGAAGTCCTTAAACAGATCCTGAGTCAAGAAACTTGTGTTGTTACCCTCCAGTAATGGATATTCATACTATTCTTCTTGGATCATGACCTTCTGTGAAGCCTTCAGAGACAATGACCTCAATTAATATCTGAGCATTATTCTAATCTTCCTTTTAAAGCCATATAATTACATACATGACCTTTAAACATCTCCCAAAGCATAGTGTTCTGTAACCAGCTCTTAAATTGGTGATTGTTATAGTGATATCATTGGAAGGAAGTTGCTACATCTCCTTTATCATTTCTGTTGTTCTTTTCTGCATCACTTATATATCATGCTCCATTAAAATGTTTGATCAGATACTACTAACTTCTGATGAAAAACTAATTAAGAAAATGTATAATTTTCTATTAAATTTGAAAATGGAAGACGAACAAGTAAAAGAAACAATGATAACATGAGCAAAGAACTTTGGTTACAATATAGATCTAAAGAAATGGCAAAACTTGTGGGAAAGAAATTATAAATTAACAATGTTAACCTCTTATAAAGAAAATTTGTACAAAATGTTTTATCGATGGCACTTGCCACCAGCAAAATTAGTAAAAATGTTTAAAAACATGTCAGAAAACGTTGGAAATGTAATCATAAATCAGGTACTTATTATCATGTGTGGTGGACATGTGTTAAAGCAAAGAGATATTGGACAAAAATACATACTTGGTTAGAAAAGATGTTGGGGAAATGTGTAGATTATAAACCTGAACTTTTTTTATTAGGCATAATGCCAGAAAAGCTTGATAAACAAAGTGTATATTTGATTTTGCATGTGATAACAGCAGCAAGAATTATATTCGCACAATATTGGAAAATGAAGAAACGCCATCAGAGGAAGAAATAATTAAAAAAATATTAGACTGTGTGGAAATGGACAGACTAACTCTGAGGTTGAAAGAAAAAGAAGAAACGGGATATTTCCAAACTTGGGACTTATTTTATCTATGGCTGGAAAAACGAATTAGGGATTAGGAATTTAATCTGTATTAGCGAATGATAAACTCAGACAACACGTTTGCTGAATAAGTACTGTTGAACTGCATTAAAATCAATAAAAATTTGAAATGAAAAAATAAAATAAAATGGGAGTCCATCCAACCGAGCAACTAGCAAGGAAACTAAGAGAGAAGGATAACTAGTAGTCTTTACTTCTGCTTTTATTCTGGGAACCTCCATGAGAGCTAATTACCTGAGTGCAGTTTGATTACGGTAGAGCTGAGAGACATAGCAGTCAGAGAGCCAGGAATGGGTGTGAAGGAACAGCACATTGTAGACAACAAGGCAAAGTATCAGCATGGTCAACTTGAGCTCGAAGTTCATGTGAAGGAAGAGGGAACACGAGAGAAATCCCAGGACACAGCAGTAGATATAATACTGAGGGAGAAGAAAGAGAGAGAGAGAGAGAACAGGAGGAGGAAGAAGAGAAGTTTTTGGTGAGATTGGTAGGTCCATTAATCAAAAGAAAAGAAAAAGAGAATTGATTAAAGAGCTCAACCTTACCGGCACACTGAAGAGGGAGTTAAACCGAGAGAATTCCTGTACAGTATTCATGCCTGATAAGGTAGAATTTTCAAGTTTCAAAAAGCATGAGGTCTCTGGCATAAAGAACTAGAAAGCAGAATTAGAGAGCATATTAGAAGGGAAGAGGGAACAGAAAATCTTCTGATCTGAACTAGATAGCAGAAGAGAAGCATGACTAAGATTTGGCCAGAGATTCTACAACCCTTTTCTATTTCTCAGGAACAGCATCAATGTGGTAAAAGCAATATACCACAGTGGCCTCTATCCATGGCCAGAGAAGGAGCATTGGAGAATACCCAGACTCCTTCAACCTGAACCCTTCCAGTATCTTTACATTCAGATTACTGGAGCAAAGGCCAGGTAGAGAATCAATTCTTGTACCCCCATGCAGATTGAATTGATTGCACATCTAGCAACATTGGCTAAGACAGGGTTAGACCGAGTGATCCTTAGATGGAAGACTAACAGGAGGTCCTAGAGGTATAGGCAAGACTGGGAAATTGACAAAGCATCCTGAAAGAAGGCAGTGGCAAACTATTGTGATCCCAAGTCCAAAAATATAATGTATAGTATTCAAGTACAACTTGGAAGAAACTTTGTTTTTGAAAAAAAATGCTAATACAATTCTCCCAAAGATGCTTTTTCATGAGGCAACTGGACTTTCTTGTTTTTCTTTGAAGACATTTTGCTTTTTATCTAAGAAGCTTCTTGGATGAGAAGCAAAACATCTTCAAAGAAAAACACTGAAGAAACTTCTTGGATGAGAAGCAAAATGTCTTCAGAGAAAAACAGCTGAAGAAGCTTCTTGGACGAGAAGTGAAACATCTTCAAAGAAAAACAAGAAAGTCCAGTTGCCTTGTGAAACAGCATCTTTGGGACAACTATGACCTGGATGACTGAGAATCTCCATAGACACGTAGCTAATACAATTCATTGTTTCATCCATGAAGACTCTTACCACTGACTGACAGATCCACATTAAAATTTTATTTGTTTTGGGCTACAAGGAGTTCTTCCCATATATCTTGAACCCTCCTCCTCTCCCAAATATTCCATTTCTCTCTCCTTCCCATTCACTAGCAACATACCAAGTTCAACACTGACATTGTGAGAACCACAAGAATGGTGATGATGCCCAAAGAGACACGTAGCCATGGCTGAGTGCAAACATTGGCCAAGATGGATGGAACCCAATACAAGATCTTGGGGCCTTTCAGGAAACATTTCTGTGTGCAGAAAGAAAAAAATGACAATGATATAAGCATCCATAGAGCCAAAATCTTAAATTCCTTTCTCTCACTACTCCATCAATCTTCTCCTGACATTGAAAAGTCTATTTAAAAAATAACAATAATAATTCCCAACAGAAAAAAAGCCAAATTGGTTTATACTATTTTAATATTTGTTTGTATATGGGAACTGTACTTTGTCTTTCATTAAACAAATCAAAACAAAGTAAAATGAAGCTCACATTAAAAATAATGGCCAAAACTCATCAATACAGGAGGAGTCCTTGGTGTTCTCTGAGCTTGGTTGTTTTCGTGCAGATGTTTCATTATCCAAACTAGGTAACATCATCAGTGCTAGTCTAGACTAGCAGAAATGATTGCAAGAAGCTCTGAGAGCACCAAGGACCCCTGATTTCAACCTTCAGCTACAAATATTCCCCTTTATTGGTACCCATCAATACAATCAAAATCAAGAATACAGAGAGAAAAATACAATGAATTAATGTACATAATTGTTACTGCATATGCCTAGTCTTTCCCTTGGACCCAATTATAAGGGAGCATCTTATCAACTTTGGCAAACCATGTCCTTATAACAGCTTTGTGGAAGGATTTAAACAATTAAGTCTGATTATGTAACATCTATGTGGGGATTTTGTAAACTACTTCTCCCAAGTAGAAGCTGAGAACCCAAAGTTATACACTTTCCTGTTTGTATTTTTAACTAAGAAAGACAAATATGGATTGTGGGTAAGAGATGACTTCCCCCTTCACTTACATCTCTCCTGTAGAATTGTGCCCACACCTCAGCTCTGCTGAGTTCAAGGAAGAACACACAGGAGACCTCGAATACTTTTAATAACTCTCAAAAATGAACTTTTTAAAAGTTCAATTGGATTACAATTTTAAATCCAACCCTAGAAACAGCTTCCAACCAGTCCCAAGAATATGGGCATCTTTTAAATTTGTCTGCAGAAGCTGTGGTCCAAACAGCCAGGGCTACAAAACCACACCATCTCATCATGGCCCTGCTCATTGCCTGATTAAAGATCTCCATGAGTTTCTCCTCTGAAGTATCCCCTCCAGAGACTTACCGCCAGGTGACCAGCAAAGCAGGTGAGAAGGAGGAGGAGAAACAGGAAGAAAGAAATTCCATAGGAGATCCCCAATGCCTCTGTTCTGGGTGGAAAGAATAAACGAGGAATCCAGTTGGCAGGCATTTGTGTAATTCAGTGTTTACTTTTGCTTTTATTGATCTTGAAGAAGAACCACCCACTGAAATAATGACCTCCTGGCATTCTGTGCTGGTTCATGTCTTGCCAAAATCATGGATTCAAATTTACTTCAGCATCCATGAGAGCTAGAAATCCATTCATTTTCAGTCTCATATATTGGTTGCCACATAGATCTTCAAGTGGAAAGTGGCCTTTGAGAATTTTCTCCCAGAGTGATCTAGGACAAATCTATTATTTATTTCAGTCCACACGTTCAGTTCTAAACATCTCCAAGCTGGTGCCCTCCACAAAAGTGGAACTAAAAGTATTCCTATGGCCATACTGACTGGAGGATTCTGGAAATTGAAATCCAAAGAACATTATGGAACTTTAAGGCTTTGGCCTTAGAGCTGCACTCCTAAGCATGCATGCTGTGAATAAGCTTTGCCACATTTTTAAGTATTCATATCTCAACAGGTAGAACCACCTCTAGCTATCTATCCCTTCCCTATCACTCAATTCCTCCTTACTTATAAACAACAAGGATCTGGATGAGAAAGTTGGAAACGAAGACCAGGAAACTGCAGGCCGTATAGTAATTAAAAGATGGTAGTGGCGAGAGCCGGTACTGCAAAAAAAAAATTAAAAAAGAGGAAAATTGAGAGAAATTGTAATCAGCAAACAGAAACATTGGTTTTAGATCACTGTGAGAAATGCCTTTGCAATAGAATTCTCCTCTCCACCGGATTATTTATTTAATTCCTGCTTACCTGCTTCTCAACATCAACATTTTAAATAATTGTTAATATTGATTTAATAACTTTTTAGCTTGAATGGTATAAATCTAAACAAAGTGTTATAATAATCTCCAGCTAATACTGTAAAAGCACCACGGTATCAAAATAATATAATGTATTATGCTTCTCTTATAAGAATATAATAAAAGATATTTTTTTAAAAAAGAAGGAATCCCATTCCTTTTATAGTTTACCTCCTTTTCCAGAGATTCCTGCTTGAAGTACAATGTGATGCAGTTGAAGTCTTCGGATTTCTTCCATTGCCTGTACAAAAGAGAACAAGCACACTTAGAATGACAATATTCATTCATTCATTTTCTAGCAAGATCATGTGAAGTGTTAATACTACTTTATAATGCCTTGGTAAGACCACACTTGGAATACTGCATCCAGTTTTGGTCACCACGATATAAAAAAAGATGTTGAGACACTAGAAAGAATACAGAGAAGAGCAACAAAGAGGATTAGGGGAGTGGAGGCTAAAACATATAAAGAACAGCTGCTGTAATTGGGTATGTCTAGCTTAATGAAGAGAAGGAAGAGGGGTGACATGATAACAGTATTCCAATATCTCAAGGGTTGCCACCAAGAAGAGGGGGTCAATCTATTCTCCAAAGTACCTGAAGGCAGGACAAGAAGCAATGGATGGTTACTAATCAAGGAGAGAAGCAACCTAGAACTAAGGAGAAATTTCCTGACAATAAAACAATTAACCAGTGAAACAACCTGACACCAGAAGTTGTGACTGCTCCAACACTGGAAGTTTTTAAGAAGAGATTGGACAACCATTTGCCTGAAATGGTACAGGGTTTCCTGACTGAGTAGGGGATTGGACTAGAAGACATCCAAGGTCCCTTCCAACTCTGTTATCCTATCCTATCTTATCCTATCCTAACCTATCCTATCCTATTCCAACTCAACCAAGTGACTCTGGGCAGCTTACAAGTTTAAAATTTTAAAACAATTACAGGTAGTCTTCGACTTACAACAGTTAATTTAGTGGCTGTTTGAAGTTACAATGCACTGGAAAAAATAACTTAAGACCATTTTTCACACTCACAACTGTTGTAGCATTTGTATGGTCACATGATCAAAATTCAGACACTTGGCAATTGGTTCAATTTATGACTGTTGCAGTGTCCCAGGGGATCACCTTTTGCAACTTTCTGATAAAGTCATTGGGGAAGCCAGATTCACTTAATAACTGTGTTACCAACTTAACAACTGCAGTGATTCATTTAACAACTGTGGCAAGAAAGGTCATAAAATGCGCAAAATTCACTTATCAACTGTCTCGCTTAGCAATAGAAACTTTGGGCTTAGTTGTGGTCGTAATTAAGGACTACCTTTAAAATAATTTAAAAGAGAGTAAAACAATAAAACATCCACAAAATAAATAATATTTATTTATTCAATTTCTATAGCTGCTCAACCAAATTTGTTGTATCTTGGTCCAGAATGGGACAATTTGCCATGGCCAACTCCCCACACCCAACTCGTTGTGGCCAACTCACCACGGCTAACTCACCACAGCCAACTTGCTTTGGCCAACTCACTAAGCTAATTCACCATGGCCAACATGCCAGTGGACAATTCAACAAATACAAAAGTAAAATTAATTTCAGTGGAACCGTGGCCAATAATTATAAAACAAAGAAAGTCAATCCAGAAATACAATAATTTAGATGAAAAAATGGTCACCAATGATAAAAGTAACAGAATGGAACTATTAATGCAGTGTTGAATTGTCCTGCAGCGAGTTGGCCATGGAAAATTATCCCTGGTGAGTTGTCTGTAACAAGTTGGCTGCAACAAGTTGGCCATGGCGAGTTGGCTGTGACAAGTTGGCTGCAGAGAGTTGTCTTTGATCCTTTTGCTCTAATAAATCTTCAGTCTAATTAAGGAATAATTGCTTTCTCAATTCCTTTAAAGAAGAAGAGAATTTTCACAGTGGACTATGGTATTATTGTGGGGGGTTTTTTAAATGCCAAGATGGCTAAAGGATATAAATTTGCAAAGGTCCCCTCTGATTATATACTCCTTATTCTGGAAGCCTATGATCTCCTGGGCTTCTCATATTTCCGTTCGCTTTTTAATTTCCAGTAGTGGAACATTTATCGTTGCAAAAAAGAAGTCCTACCCTTGAGGTTAGGAAATCTCCCCTCCCCTGAAAAAAAAATAAACGAAATAGACCATCAGATTTCTTTTGCCTACAAATGGAGCTGAGGATTTTGAGAAGACCTTTCTGCTGAGCATTGTTCCACTTCCTTTCAACGATAGGACACTTCTTGATGTCCCAACTCACTGAGATTTCCAGTGTATTAAAGCCATAGTGTAAAAATGTCACACCCACAGATCAACTGTCACTTTCTTGAGGCATGCCCTGCATAGTATTTGTTCCTCCCTGTTTCTACATCCCTATTTGCTAAAGATAATCCTTGATTGTTTTAAAACTGGGCCTTGCCAAAGAAGCAAGCAAGCAAGCATACAACATTTTATATCTCCAGTTTTGATGTTTTGGAGATTTCTTGTCTGAAATTTAGCACAATAATTGCTAGAACTTAAGTTCCCTCTCCAAAATATTTTGAAGTTAAATCACAGAGGGGAAATATCGACAATTGCAATCATAAGGGAATGAGGAAATGTGCATTGCAACATCACGATGCAAACTGCACTCCTTACAAACTTCCACACCAAGTTGAAAGAGTGGAGTTTGTGTCATGGAACACAATGTCTTTTGGTACTACCTGTTCTGGAGCTGACACCTCTGTTGGGAAGTTGAAACATTTTTCATCTCTAAGGACCTCTAAGGAGGATCTTTCCTCTGATTTCATTTTTACCCAAACCAATCCAACCTCTTGATTGTCTTTTCATTGACCCCAAAACTCACTTCTGGGAGTTCAGCTGTTCAATCAGTTGGAAAAACTTTTCATCCACACCTTCCAAGTCTTCATCTGGACTCCTGGGGGCACGGCACCTGAAATCCAATGTGGAGAAAAAACTAGGCTACTCGAGAATTTAATTCAAATAAGGTACAAGAGGTAAACTTCTTCAAACTTCTTCTGAATATGATAAATCTTTCTGAATATTATATGTATCCCTATATTGTATTTGACAAGACAGAAGTGAGTTGTCTCACATACATAAATACACACACACACACACACACACACACACACTGTGTAGATATCTGATTGTCTGTCTAGGTTAAAGTTCTGCCATCTCCCGATGGTTACCGTTTAAGCACTAATCCAACCCAGTTGCTCTTCAAGATCTGCCAGCTCTAACTAGATTTGATATATCAATTCTTTGAGAACATACTATGTGTTATAAACCAAATTGCTAGCATGTATCAATAAAAAAAAGCTACTTGACTTTTGCAGGTTCTTCATTTAGACTACTTCAACATCCCTGATGTTGTAGCCACATGTGTGAGATGAATGGCTATATAAATTGAATAAATACCGTGTTTCCCTGAAAATAAGACCAGGTCTTATATTATTTTTTTGCTCCCAAAGACCTATTAGGGCTTATTTTCTGGTTAGGGTTTATATTCAGGGAAATAAGATACTTAATGCATCCATCTGGCTGATGATCTTATTTTTGGGGTGGGGTTTATATTACGAGCATACTGAAAAATTTATTTTTGGGGTGGTGCTTATATTTGGGGTGGTGCTTATATTTGGGGTGGTGCTTATATTTGGGGTGGGGCTTATATTACGAGCATACTGAAAAATCATGCTAGGGCTTATTTTCCGGTTGTGCCTTATTTTCAGGGAAACACAGTACATAAATGGTAATGAGAAGAAGTCTTAGAAGATTCTTCATGTTTCATGAAAAATGTTCAGAATGATCTAATAAGGATTGCTAATAGAACTCAGATTCCACCCTAAAACAAATTTAGCTCATTTAGCTTGTCCATCAAGATGTTGGTCACATAACATTTCTTTATGCATCTTTAAGTCTTCTGTGCTATAGAGTTGGGCAAACATGGATCATCCTATCAACCTCTAAGCCTTGCAAGATACCTGTTATTAATTCCACAAATCCTTTGTAATTCCTACACATTCTCCTTTGTGTCACTGTTAGATTAACATATTTGCGCTTGCTACCTTTTCCATCTCTAGAATCTACAAATTGCATCATGATCCCCAACACAAATGAAAAGAGTGTCATTTCATAAGATTTTTCAATTTCTTTTTAAAGCAAACTATTTGGTCACTGATCCATTTTTTTTTTGTTTCACTCTACAAAGCAATCTTCTCTAACTTGATTTCTTCCAGACATATTACATTAGCTGGAGAAGATTATTTGTGATTACACAATTTATCTGGAGGGCTGGAAAAATCTGGCTTAAAACCAATATTTCTTCTTACCGTTCCATGGTCAAAGACCCCAAAGAGATATCCTGCAAAAAAAAAAAAAACAACAGAAAAGGGAACCACAATGCATTATAGTCATTCTTCATTTAGGATAATGTAAGAATAGAATTAACAATTGTGTAGTATATGTCAGACTAATAACCTGGAAAATATTGCTTCATTTCTATTAATAAATGTTCAATATTGTAAGGATTGGCTATAATTGACTTGTTTCTAAAGATGTAGTTTAGGTGTTGGAATATACTGTTTGGACCTATTCTATTAGTATAACATTTTTGGCTTAAAATCATCACAAATTTAGTACAAATTTTAATTTTTAGTAATGGATTGCTTTTCTTTCATGTAGCATCTGAATGGGCACTTAGAACTCATCTTTAAAAAAAAGAAATCTTCCAAGCACCTAACCAGCTAATGTGGCACCTGGTTCTTTCTGGCTTCTACTTTGGGCTTAGAACTGTTTCTCTTGTTTCTGGGTCCTTGTTTTACCGATCCCGAAAGAATGGAAGGCTGAGTCAAGTTTGAGCGAGTCAGACATGTCTGGTGTTATGTCTCCAGTACTTGCTTGTTTGTCACCTTTGTTGTCCAAATATATCTGTATCCAAAGGCAGGGCTTTTCAACCAGTGGTACGGGTACCACCTGTGGTACATTGGCACCTGGCAGGTGGTAGGCGATCATCCTAGAAAAGTGGTAGCGGGGGAGGGGAATGAGCTGAACCGGTGGCAGTACTGCACAAGCCTGAGCAAGAGATGGCTGGAGCTGCAGGGCTGTCAGGGCTCAGCGGAAGCACCAGGATCAGCGCTTCTTCGGGACTGTCAGGGCTCAGCGGAAGCGCCAGGATCAGCGCCAGACTCCAGCTGGAGCTTGGTACTGATCCTGGTGCTTCCGCTGAGCCCAGAAGAAGCCCCGATCAGCTGGAATGTTGCAGCATCTCCGGGGTCTTGTGATTTACATTCAGATGCTTGGCAACTGATTCATATTTATGATGATCACAGTGTTCCGGGGTCATGTGAAGTGACCAAAACCTGCTGCAACCACTCAGCAGACGGGGGGAATAAAAACCAAACACCCCCCACCCCATCCCTGCTGCCAATCCTCAACAGAAATGCTCACAACCTAGGTTTTCGGACAGGAGGAAGAGCGCGGCCAGGCGGGCAGGCAGGTGTCTTGCTCGGCTGTGCCTTGGGGGGGTACTTTTTTCAGTGCCATTGTAACTTCAAACAGTCACTAAGCGAACTGTTGTAAGTCAAGGACTACCTGTACTTTATCACTCCCCCCCCCTTTTTTTTTTTTGGTCATCAAGTTTTTGACACCTTGCTAGGCGACTGGTGATACTCGGATATTGCCATATCCTAAAAGTGGTACAATGGGTGAAAAGGTTGAAAAGCCCTGTCCAAGAGTATACTAAAATGTAAAATAATCTGAAATTCACAGACATCAAGTTTGCCTACATTTTGTGCCAATTCTATCAAGTTATAAAGAATGGAACAATGATCAGGTTGGGTAGCCAAAAGAAGTGTTCCTCACGCTAGACATACCGAATGGTTATTCCGAACAAATCCTGGTGACTCTCCTGGGAGATTGTCCAGAGGTTTGAGGTTGGCAAAGGGTTTGGCAGCTCCCCAAGATTCCAGGTAGCGAGTCATCCGGACAGAGGCCCTCATCATGAAGCTCTCACCTGGTGCAGGTGAGAGAATGTCACTGGAGCTTTCTTCTTCAGCCTAAACAACATAGAAACCAAAAATGCTAGGAAGGTTCATGAGTAGCAAATCCCACCCTGTTTGTGAAAGTGTATCTACCTCCAGTTTTGCATGGATTTCTATGTGCTATAGTCCTGCTGCACAAGGGCAGGTTATAACACTGAGATAGCGATAAAGTTCTCAACTGGCTTTGTTGCAAAATAAAAGGTTTCTGGTCCTTTGGCCTGATCCAAAGTTCAATCTGCTGTCAGAATACTACCATGCAGAATCTCCCAGCAAGGCAGCATACATAAAATCAGATTATTTTTGTATCTAATATTTCTCTGGGATTTAGGATGAGGTTGTCCCACTACCTATGGCCCACTATTTTTACTCAAGAATAAGCTGTGTGACTTTCAGAAACGTCTTAAATTACAGTTCAAGTTCAAGTTCAAGTTTATTGCATTTATATCCCGCCCTTCTCCTAGTGGACTCAGGGCGACTTACAGCCAATTAAAAAACAAAACAATCAATACAAATCTAAGAAATTTAAAATCAATTAAAAGATATATTCAATAGGCCTGTTCATATATTAAAATTAATTAAAAACCAATTTAAAATGTCCCTAGGCCAGTCCTGCCTGCTGAAACAGCCATGTCTTGAGGGCGCGGCGGAAGGAGGGGAGATCCGGAATCACCCGGATCTCTGGGGGCAGCTCGTTCCAGAGGGTGGGGGCTCCAACAGAGAAGGCTCTCCCCCTGGGGGTTGCCAACCGGCACTGTCTGGCTGACGGCACCCTGAGGAGACCCGCTCTGTGGGAGCGTATCGGCCGGTGAGAGGTGATCTGTGGCAGAAGGCGGTCTCGGAGGTAGCCAGGTCCGATGCCATGGTGCGCTTTAAAGATGATAGTCAACACCTTGAAGCGCACCCGGAAGGCCACAGGCAGCCAATGCAGCTCACGCAGCANCCTGGCCACGGCCGCCAACTGGTCTTCCAGTGTCAGCCGTGGATCCAGGAGGACGCCCAGATTGCGCACCCTCTCTGAGGGAGCCAAAGTTTCGCCCCCTATAGTCAGCGATGGAGTCAGCTGACCATACCTGGGAGCCGGCAACCACAGCCACTCAGTCTTGGAGGGGTTGAGTCTGAGTCTGTTTCTCCCCATCCAGCATCCTCATCACTGGACAGATTAATTGGGGATTCTGGGATTTATAGTTTAATAACATCTAGTCTCCAGAGGCCAACTTGGAAATTGTAGGGTTTTGAATAGCAACTGAACCTCAGAGATACATAGCTGTCCCTAAAAAAATGAGGCTTGTCTTAGATTTGTAGATACTTAAACATCCTTACTGTGCTTAGAAGATGCAGACAATATTGGGAAAATATTCAACCCTATTAATAAAAATAACCTCTGTGTATGTAGGAACTTAAATATGATATTGGTTCCATCTAGCCATCGTTATGCCATGGCAGCTCTCTAACATTGATTTTGATCCAATTAGGATTTCTTGCAAAGACCAGAATGGGACATAGGGATCTTCTCCATACAAACCATGCAACTTTCAAACACATTGTAAATAAGTATCATGTAGAATTAATCTACTGGGCTATAATGGTATTTGGAAGCTCCTTACTCTGGGATCCACAACTAAGAAGGTCTTGATGCGGTTCTCCCTTAAGTAAGAATCTCGCACACAGCAAACTTCTTCCACAGTGTACATTCCACCCAGGTGTGACAAGGTAGCTTCTGTGATATGAACTCTCCTGAAAGGGAAATGTAGTAGTTAGCCCACAAATTACTGTTCACTGCACAGAATCTATTTTTCACTGACGGTCAAATCCAAAACAGATTGTTCATGTGAATCACTAGATCGCTAAACTAGGTCCATGCAGTTCTGAAAGTTAATTTATCCAGTAGAATAAAAAAATCATCAGGTCAGTGTGGTGGTAGTCAATTCAAGGATTCAATTGGAAAATCATCTCCAAATCTACTTGTCAAATAAAATCTCTGTAAGATTTACTTGAGATATATCTCTCGTATATTTTATGTACTGTATTTGAATCTTAGCTTGTGTGATTCTTCTTTTTTCCTCTTGGGAGCAGCACTGCCCATATATTTCAGTTAAATTCTGAGATATGCAAATAGACGTTCTCAATCATTTTGCTAGACTGCCTTTAAGCAAAGACACAAATGCCTTTGAAAAGACAAAAATAGCTTATTTTATTGGAACAGTTATAATGAAATAACCAATATTCTTTTAATCTGATCATAATTTTTTGTCAGATCAACAGCCTTGAGTTCGGAGGGGGATCCACAATCCTTGCAGATACTAAAACTGGACATTTAGTTATTTATTCCAGAATCAGATAATTCCCATCCTCTCATCAATTGTATCTATCTTCACTGTCTTTCATCAAGATCATATTACTACCACCACCCCTGGTAGTGGTTGGTACCAGGAGATGGGATGGAGATGGTAGTTATATCTTCATCTCACCTTTCTTTGGGAAGCTCAGGGACTGTAAACAACAAGCCATCTTTCATTTTATTCCTAGCACACTCTATACATCTACTTTTTCTCCTTTGGTTATCTCAGAAAACAACGGTTAAGGATCACCTCATTTCCTCACTTCAAGTCAATTATTTTAGGGGGGGCTGAGAGAAAACCCATCCAAGGAGTAGAATGAAGATGTTTGGGTTCAAATATATCAAGAAGGATAGAGTAGGTGAAGTCTGTTTCCAACTCTTGGTATCTGGGAAAAGACCAGGGTTGCTCCTTTTAACCCAAGGTGAGGTCAGCTTTCCAAGAAGATTACTGAAAATTATCCAAGGAAACCATGTGTTGGAGAAGGAATTCTTCCATAGGAAAATTCTCCAAAACAATCACATGTACATATACATACATATAAATATTAATCACTGTACATTCCGCTATGTATTCAAGATAGACAGTGATTAATATTTATATGTATTTATATATAAGAGTGTAGGTATATACATATGTTGTATATAGCATGTTTATATGTGTGTTATGTATGTGTACACTTTTGAGAGCAGGGAATAGAATTTCAGTTTTAATGTGTACCAGTGTGCCCACAGTAAAAAATGACAATAAAGGTTATTTTATCTGTATAATAACAGCAACCTGCCTCCCAGGGTAGATTGGGCTTTGGACCTAAGAAACTGTGGGGGGATACTTGAACCAGAGTTGTCCATTTCACAATAAGACACCACTAACAACGATGCCAGTGACGTAGCGGTGGGGGCCGTGCTGCTCCAGCACAATTCGCAGGGAATACTGCAACCCTGCGCCTATACATCACGGAAATTGACTGAAACCGAGAGAGCCTGGGCCATCTGGGAGAAGGAAGCAGCGGTGGAACGTTACCTCAGGAGCTATGTCTCGTATCAGCAAACGGATTGGGTGGAGTGGGTGGTGTTTGCCGAGGTGGCATACAACAATGCTGTACACAGCAGTACAGGGTTCACCCCCTTCCGGGTAGTGTCAGGCAGGGACTTCGTGCCCATGCCAGAGTCACAGGCCAGGGAGCACCACCATGTCAACCTGGGGAATGGATAACCCAAGTTAGCGGGGTATGGCGTGTAGTGACCAAGGCCCTAGAGAGGGCGAGGCAGGTGACCAAAGCCCAAGCTGATAAGAAAAGGAGACTGCAAAAACCTTTCCGGGTGGGAGACCTGGTGTACCTCTCCACGAAGTATATACGTCTTAGAGTTCCCAGCAAAAAGTTAGGCCCAAAGTACATAGGTCCATTCAAGATAGCCCAAGTGATTAACCCCGTAACAGTGCGTCTCAAATTACCACGGACGTTGGGCAGATTACACCCGGTATTCCACAGTAGCCTGTTGAAACCGGTGTCCCACATGCGACCTATGGAAACCCCAGGGCCCGTAACATCCGATCAGTACGAGGTACAGGACATATTAGACTCCAAGAGAAATAACACTGGAGTATCGTACCTTGTGCTATGGAAAGGCTATCCGTTGTCGGAAGCATCCTGGGTGAAAGATAGTGAGGTGCACGCACCCCGCCTGCTCAGGAGGTTCCATCACAGATATCCCGACAAGCCAAGGGGGCAACCGGGGGCTGCCGTCGTGCCAAAGCAAAACCATTAACTTTGTATTTTGTTTTCCAGAGGGACCCCTGGTAGGGGGAGCGGCATGTCGAGCCCTGCGAGGCTGTCCCAGCCGCGTACGGCCTACCTCCCACCACCCCGTTCACCTTACCCAGGGCTGCAGTCCAGGGGAGTCGGCTGACCCATCGCTCCGGCGCTGCCGCCGCAGCCGCTGATGCCGCCGCTCTCCTCTAACGTCATCACCCTGCGCCTCGCAGGGCCCGACAGATGATCTGGGGGGAAGGGGCCGGACGAAGCCTTCGTTCTAGTGCAAAGCGACGGAGGGACGTGCAGCCGCCTGCCCCAGCAACGGCAGAAGGAACGCCCAGCCGATTGCAGCAACCTGCCCCAGCAACGGCAGAGGAACGCCCAGCTGATTGCCCGGCTGTGTAATCGAAGGGCGTGGGCTGGGTGGGGCCCAGGTGTGGGAGGGCGGATGGTGGCTTGGGATGGTGGCTTGGGAGGCGTGTGAGGCGGGGCGGTGCTAACGAGGGCGGGGCTGCCGTGTCCACAAGGGTGGGGCTGGAACATGTGCTATGTAAGGCACTGGGAGCAAGCACCTCCCAGTGCTGACTTTAATCTGCATGGAGTGATTAAACTACCATATGTCTAACATTCCTGCTTGCTGGCTGGTTTGTGAAGCGCCAAGACAGGACGGTTTGACACTGGCTTCTTTTTTTCCCTATTCACTAGCAACACTTTCTTCGCTTTCCTCAGGGAAGAAAAAAAACAGTCTAGTTGCCTTTTGAAAAAGCACCTTGGAGACAACTATGACTGAGAATCTTCACAAAGCCATAGTCAAAAACAGACAAACGTAATTGGAACGCTCATTGCAATTTGTTTCCATGTAATTGGCATCCGGTAGAAATCACAGTGATTACTTGTGTATCATAAGATATGGTGCACAATTTGTATTATTTACATTGTGACCCCATCATGTTGTGGTGTCACTTGCCCCCTTTTCCCCTGCCCACAGATACCTGAATCTAAGTCACTAGAGTCCACATTCAAAGCTAAGCCAAAGACATAAACACCTTCAGTGATAGTTGGGAGCGCACAGCTCACCCTCTGTTTCCACTCACCCTGGCACGCCTCCTGCCTCCATGTGATTGGCTAATGTCACATCATCAGACCAGACATCATATTGCCACTTTTGGAGACCAATCACCCCACAGAGGACATTTCCTGAATGGACTCCAACTCTCATGTTGATGTCCACTCCGGTGGCATCACGTAGCTTCCTGTGGAAAAACAAATTGTAACACAGTGTTGTTGTATTTCATTAAGCAATCTGAGCCAAGTTTCTAAAAAGTTTCTATATATTCATGGCTCATTAGATAGCAGCACCCAGCCAAGGCAGGCTGATATCCAAAAACTAAGCAGAATTGGACTTCATAGCTGGAAATCTTAGCTCTGGAGGATAAATTAAGTCATAGAAAACAAAAATCCAGACTAGAACAATGGCAAACTACTTCTGTACTATTACAGGTAGGCCTTGACTTACAGCAGTTCATTTAGTGACTGTTCAAAGTTACAATGGCACTGTAAAAAGTGACAGGCCCATTTTTGACACTTACAACCATTGCAGCATCCCCAGACACATGATCAAAATTCAGACGCTTGGCAACTGACTCATATTTTTGACAATTGCAGAGTCCCAGGGTCAAGCAATCACCTTTTGTGACTTTCTGACAAGCAAAGTCAATGGGGAAGCCAGATTCACTTAACAGCCATGTTATTACCTTAACATCTGCAGAGATTCAATTAACAACTGTGACAAGAAATGTCGCAAAAGGGGGCAAATCTCACTTAGCAAATGCCTTGCTTAGCAACATAAATTTTGGGCTCAATTGTGTATAATGAGGACTACTTGTGTATATAATAATAATAATAATAATAATAATAATAATAATAATAATAATAATAATAATAATAATAATAATAATAATAATAATAATAATAATAATAATAATAATAATAATAATAATAATANTGTTGGAGCATTCACCGCTTCTGGAGGCAGGTTGTTCCACTGGTTAATTGTTCTCACTGTCAGGAAGTTTCTCCTTAGTTCTAGATTGCTTCTCTCCTTGATTAGTTTCCACCCGTTGCTTCTTGTCCTGCCTTCAGGCGCTTTGGAGAATAGCTTGACTCATCATCACTTGTACTCAAAGGAGACTTTTATCTAGATTTGGGGGGGGGGGTGTTTCAAACTTGACAACATTAAGATGTGAGAACTTCCCAGCATGCCAGCTGGGAAATTCCAAGAGTTGAAGTCCACACATCATAAAGTTGCTATGAAAAACACCAATCTACAGTAGATTAATAGTAGTCAGGAAATAGATAGAGACAGAGATATAGCACTCTACAAGTATTAGCAGCAACAGGAACCAATGGAATGATGGACATTCAATTTTCTGTATCCCTGCTTGGAAACAGAAAGTCTTTAGCAAGATATAACAATGTTTGGCTGTATGTACCTATGAGTCATTACTGATTCCTGGTGACTGTCTGAAGTCCTTTCTGTTTTCTTGGCAAGATTTCAGAAGTGGTTTGCCATTGCCTGGTTCCTAATGTTGAGAGGGAGTGACTGGCCCAAGGACACCCAGCTGATTAAATTAGAACATATAGTCTCCTAGTTCTAGCCTAGTGCTTTAATCACTACAACAAACTGGCCCTCAGTATATGTAGCTAGCAACCCCAATATTTGGTACTTCCATTCCTGTTCAAGAGTGGTATACAACTTCTTCTGAGGCAATAACCACAAGTAGCCTTTGGAGTGATTTTAAGAATCACTTCAATCAAAAAATAATGGGTAGAAGTCAGGTGGAAGGCTCCATTTCATTAGTCTTCGACTTACAACCATTTGTTCAGTGACCATTTGAAGTTACGACAGTACTGAAAAAAGTGTCTCATGACCAGTTTTCACACTTATGACCGTTGCAGCATCCCTGTGGATCACGTGATCAAAATTCAGATGCTTGGCAAATGGTTCATATTTATGACATTTAACAGTGTCCCTGGATTATGTGATCACCTCTTGCAACCTTCTGACAAGCAAAGTCAATAGGAAGCCAATTCACTTAACAACTGTTTTACTAACTTAACAATGGCAGTGATTCATTTAACAACATGGCAAGAAAGGTTGTAAAATGGGGTGAAATTCACTTAACAGCTGCCTCGCCTAGCAACAGAAATTTGGGCTCAATGGTAGTCATAGGTTGAGGACTACCTCAATTCCATTTGTGCTTAAATTAAATTAAAGTTAAATAATACAGTAAACCTGCCGTCATGTATTGAATAATGTGCCTCTTTTGTCATAGCAAAAATGACAAGTTGAAGTGTGGTTTTGTTGCTACATTTACAACTTGACCTTCCCCTCATACTTAGGATAGCTCTTCTAATGTCACGCCCACCGCATCCTTGCAAAATATTTTTGTCTAATTAAAAATAACTATGGTATCTCCAACTTAGTTAAAAATAACTACTGTATTTCAGGGGTTGCCACAAAGAAGAGGGAAGTCAAGCTATTCCCCAAAGCACCTGAGGGCAGGACAAGAAGTAATGGATGAAAACTAATCAAGAACTGAGGAGAAACTTCCTGACAGAACAATTAATCAGTGGAACAACTTGCCTCCAGAAGTTGTGAATGCTCCAACACTGGAAGTTTTTAAGAAGAGATTGGACAACCATTTGTCTGAAATGGTATAAGAGTTGGACTAGAAGACGTCCAAGGTCCCTTCCAACTCTGTTATTCTATTCTATGTCTTAATTTATGGTGGAGTGAAGATTTCAAGCTGAGTCTCCCCAACAACAAAGGGCTTTTCCTAGACCAAAAGAACTAGATATTGTCCTTCCTAAAAGTAGCATTATTAATATGAGAAGTTCTCATACTCACTTGATGGACCGACACATGTCAAGGCCCATCTTGACACAATTCCGGGCATGGTTCGGCAAAGATACAGGCAATCCAGACACACAATAGTAGCAATCCCCTAAGATCTTGATCCTCATGCATTCATTATCCTAGGGGGGGAAACAGAAATGTAATTCCATTGGTCACCTTGGCAAGAGGGATATTCAATTTTGATTTATAGATCGCTCTGGAGTGGATTCAGGGTAGTAAGCAAACAAACTTTGAGAATGAAAATAGAATCTAAGAAGATAATCCACATATTAAAATTAATCATAATGTAGGCATGAAGACCACCAAGAATAACAGGTCTACAGATTTACAAATCTTCTAAATTTTGAGAGAATGGAGGCCCAATAAAGCTTTAGAAGAAGGGTGGGCATCTGACAATGAGGAAAACTACAGAACAGTCTCTCTTGTAGTTCTTAATGATTGGGCAGGTTCGTAAGATGGGAGGAGATCTTTAGTGAAGCCCAAGCTGCTTAAACAATCAGTACAGGTAGTCCTCGGCTTATGACCAAAATTGAGGCCAAAATTTTGCTTGCTAAGTGAGACATTTGTTAAGTGAATTTTGCCCCATTTTATGACCTTTCTTGTCACATTTGTTAAGTGAATCACCACAGTTGTCAAGTTAGCCATACAGTTGCTAAGTGAATCTGGTTTTCCCATTGACTTTGTTTGTCAGAAGGTTGCAAAAAGGATCACCTGATCCTAGGACACTGGAACCGTCATAAATATGGGTCAGTTGCCAAATGTCCAAATTTTGATCAGGTGACCATGGGGATGCTGCAACAGTTGTAAGGGTGAAAAACAGTCATAAATCCCTTTTTTCAGTGCCATTGTAACTTTGGACGGTCACTAAATGAACTGTTGTAAGTCGAGAACTACCTGTATTTGCAATTGTGCTGAGGAAAACCACTGGCATCCAGCACAGAATTTGGAGTGCAGGTGTTTGGTTGGTTGGTTGGTTTGCCACACATCTCACCATGAGGTCATCATATAGGATATCAACAAGGGTATCAATAGGATATCCAAATCAGAAGGCATATTTTGCACCAACTGTCACTTCCAGATACTTTCCAAAGGTAGTCAAAGACAGAATGTAACCAAGGCATGCATAATCTTTGTGGATTACCTGATTATTTGGAGGGAGACCATTACTCACCTTTGCAATCTGATCAAATTTGCCGAAGAGTTCATTGAGCATCAACACCAGCTCTTTGGGAGAACATTCACTGGCCAAAAGTGTGAAGCCAACAATATCTGCATAGAGGATGCTGTGGGGGAAGAATGGCAAATGAAAGAGGAGAAATGCTTCAAAGCATTGTCTACAAGGAGGGCTAGCAACTCCTCCAAATTCACCACCCTTCTCTTCCTTCAACCATAAAAGTCCCACCAAGCAATCTTCCATGTGGCAGATGCCTTCAAATCAAGTACCTGACATTCTGGTGCCTCTTGACATAAAGGTTGTGGAAGTTGTTGGCACTCTCATGCTGGCGCTGGGGCTGGCCTCCATCCCGAAGCCGCTCAATGATCTCGGCCTTCATCTCCAAGGCAATGTAAGCAGGAAGGATGGAGAGCAGCAAATGTTCCTAGGAGGAAAAAGAAGGTGGGGAGAAAAAAGCATCAATGGAATGAGTTGTGGAACCTTCTCACAGATGTAGAACTGATCTCAGGTGGAGGCAGCATTAATCCACTCTCTGCTGAGTTGTGTTCATTCAGATCTTAAACATCTCTCAATCACTGTTTGACAGAGCTTTCTTCAGATGGAAAAAAGTTCTGTCTAAGCTGCTTAGCTTTTTCAAGATCCAACAAGAGTGACTACAGCTAGGTAAACATCTCTCCCTATGTGCCTCTCTCTCCATAGTGCCTTCCACACTCACCTGGTGTCGCTTCTCTGACTCCAGCTTAACTCGAGATTGGATGAAGTTGAAGGTCTCATGGAAGGTCTCTCCTAGGGCCACCTCCATCAAATGCTTGTGGTAGGCACCCACCAAGTTACCGCAGACAAAGATGACTAGATTGGCCAATTGCTGGAAGCAAACACAAAGACAAAGTGAATCAGGACTGCAATGGGAGGATGGCAATGCAGACAGGAAAAAGTCCAGGAACTATTCTTCTTCTCTGCTGCTCCAAACAGCAAGTTAAATTGGATGGGCTTTTAGTGTAGAGAAACCCTGCAGGTTAAATTGGATGGGTTTTACTTGAAGAGAGACCCACTTGGATGAACATTATAAGAAACGTATTGATGAAGCAGTGATTTGCCAAATAAAAACAACAGCTGGGGGCACTTTAAGGTTCTTCCTGAATAAATCACCCAGGAGCCTGGTCAGTCATTTCCTCAGAAGCTCTAGGATTGGATTCCTACAATGGACAAGGAGTTGGCTAAGGTTTGGGCAGGTTAGGATGTTTCTGCACTGTGGTATTATTGTACCAAAAGTTAGAGCAAACTTCAGTTAAATGCCTTTGAGTTTCCATTCAGTGGAATACAAACTTCAACTTGAGATTTGTCCTTGTGTAACTCAGAGCTGACAAGGAGACCATGTGATGAAGCTAATGTAACATGGTATCTCCTGGAGAGAACCCAAGAACTCCAAATGAAGGAAACAGACAATACTGGGATAAATCAGGAAAAATCTGTTTGAAAAGGTATGTCATAGATAACCCATTTGTCCAGATGGGATGGGTAGGCTTACCTGCACAGCCAGTTGTGAATGTGAACTGTGGCCCATTGAGAGGTAGATACTCAGAACTATGATGTGCGAGAGAGAAGCTACTATACCGGCAATTACTGCATCTTTCATACCAACAGGCAACATGGTGTAGACAATGAAGATTATGAAGAGGAAGAAGGAGACCTTGGAGAAAAACATTTCATCCCAGTCAACTTTCCATAAGGAGTCATATCAGGAAAACATACAGGTAGAATAAATGCAAATTGAAGTGGTTCTTCAAAGATTCTAGCTTGGAACACAGTAGAGATCTTCCAGCTCCCAATACATTAATTATATTTAATTGATTTCTTCCCTGGACAATACTAATTTCCCAAATAATTTGGCAGTTCTTCATCTCTCTCTCTCTCTCCCTTCTGAAAATCTCAGTGTTTCCTTTCTGATCCCTTCCATATGGAGAGGAGAGGAGGGGAGAGGAGGGGAGGGGAGGGAGGGGAGGGGAGGGGAGGGGAAGGAAAGGAAAAGAAAGGAAAGGAAAGGAAAGGAAGGAAAGGAAAGGAAAGGAAAGGAAAGGAAAGGAAAGGAAAGGAAAGGAAAGGAAAGGAAAGGAAAGGAAAGGAAAGGAAAGGAAAGGAAAGGAAAGGAAAGGAACCCTCTATAAACCTCTCTCTGAAAAACTCTCTGTGCTTAAAACTAATGAAAAACTTGAAATCACGGGGAAATGTTGGCTAGAACTGTTAAACAGAGGCATTTTGCCTTTTTATACATAAATAATTCTGTTCATCAAAACAAATAGAAGTGTAATTGCATTCTAGAGCAGCAAATCCAAAACAAAGAAGCACCAACATCTGGCAGTTTGCGTGTTTGTGTGGGTGTGGGTTCTAGCCAGCCCTTTAATTTATTTCATTAAACTTTTTTTCAAGAAAACACAACACAGATAGAAAACCGATCAAAAGAATAAAAGCATAAAGCACTGAGGAATCAACAAGGAATTAAAAAATGTCAACAAGCTTATAATTTTCTACCATATTATTCATTAATTATGAACGATTGAATATATCACTTTAAACAACCAAACTTCACTATTAAGCTCTGAACCTAGGAAAAAATCTCAAGAAACCTGAGTTTAACGCAGTATAAATCACCAAATAAAATCATTATTCATAATAGACTGAGTCAAAACTGAGAATCTGCTCTGCCTTAGTTATTCCATCAAATCAAGATACAAACTGTATCCACAGAAAAATTCAAATTTTGGAAGAGGTGTAAATTTATGTATTGAACTTGGGGAGCACTGCCAGGTCCTTGGAGAACAACTGAAGTTGTCAGCTCTACACATTGAAGCAAGGTGAGCATGGCACCAGGGACAAAAAAAAGCATGATGTCCTTTACTTTTCTACAGGTAGTCCTCAACTTACGACCACAATTGAGCCCAAACTTTATGTTGCTAAGTGAGAAAGTTGTTAAGTGAGTTTTGTCCCATTTTAAGATTTTTCTTGCCACATTTGTTAAGTGAATCACTGCAGTAACATGGTTGTTAAGTGAATCTGACTTCCCCATTGACTTTGCTTGTCAGAAGGTCACAAAAGGGGATCAAATGCCCCGGGACATTGCGGCTGTCATAAATGGGAGCCAGTTGTCAAGCATCCAAATGCAAGTCATGTGACTGTGGGGAATCCTGCAATGGTAATAAGTGTGAAAAATGGTCACAAATCACTTTTTTCAGTGCTGTTGTATCTTCGAATGATCACTAAGCAAACTGTTGTAAGTTGAGGACTCCCTGTATTCACTGTGATCCAAACAGAAAAGGGGAGGGTGCTGTCACCTATAAAGATATCTTGAATGAGAAAGGAGAATTAAAAGCGAGAAATACCTTAAAGTAAGAAGGAATTGATCTGGAATGGTGGGCATATCTTCAAATTCAATCCAAATTTAATAAAGACAAAAAGGAACGGGGCATAAAGCAAGATTCTTCAGAATTAGATAAAATCTTATTTAGCAGGGAAGGCAAGACTATAAGTAAATTATATCGATATTTATTAGAGCAAGATATGATCGAGGAACAGGTGAAAGAAACGGTGATAATTTGGTGTAAATATTTTGGGCACAATATTGATTTGGATATTTGGCAAAGTTTATGGGAAAAAAATCTAAAAATTACTCTAGCAACCTCCTATAAGGAAAACCTCTATAAGATGTTTTATAGGTGGCACCTCCCTTCCACAAGATTAGCACGAATGAACAAGGGGAAATCCTCGATATGCTGGAAGTGTGAAGAGACCGTTGGGAATTACTACCACATGTGGTGGCAATGCCCAAAGGCACAAAAAATTTGGAACTTATTAAAGAAGTGGTTGGAAGAAATTTTGCAAATAGATATAGAAGACAAACTGGAATTTTTCTTATTGGGAATTATAGAAAGAAAATATAAGAAAGACACAAATTATTTACTACTGCATATAGTAACCACGGCACGAATAGCCTTTGCTCAAAAATGGAAAGAGAAAGACACTCCAACCGAAGAGGAAATATTATTGAAAATTTTCAATTGCGCTGAAATGGATAGACTTACATGGGAACTCAAGGACAAAAGTGAAACCAAGTACTATAAAATCTGGGAACAATCTTATGATTGGATAGACAATAAGAGGGTAGCCAAGATAAATGTATAGTGCTAGAATAAAATATAGATTATAGACAAATGTATATTTAAAAGATAAATAGATATATAGAAATAAGGGAAAAAGTGTTAATAGTATATTATAAATAGTGAGCAAAGTTCAAGAACTATATGTCTATATGAGTACTAATACTATTATAAAATATTGGAAGATGTATGGAACCAGTGACGTCATATCTATGTCCAATGTGTTTTTAATTTTGTATTATTAATAAAAAAAATTAAAAAAAAAACAGAAAAGGGGAGATTTTATGTCATGATATCATGATATCTTATTTCATGACACAAATTTCACAGATGCCTTTCCCTGAGATCATCCGGTATATATTGGCTTTGATCCTAAAAAAAGATTATGAAAAGCTTTCTTCTGTAAATGCTCATTCCCCATTTTTATATTTATGCAGCAGACGACCCAACCTTGGTGCCTCACCTGGTCCCAAGCACAAACCACTCCACCAACAAAGATGAATACATAACCCATTGTGATCAGGCAAGTCCAAATGACAGCTGAGAAGAGGCGGGTGCATCTCTGGAAGATGTTTTCCATGCACACAAAGATCAAGATGAGGCTGAAGATAAGCAGAGTGATGAACAACGTAATCAGGAAAGCCAAGTTGGAGGAGAAATCCTGGAGAAGAGAGAAAAAACAGCCTCAGTTAATCTGGTTGCAATCCCCGACCCTCATAATAGAATAACAGAGTTGGCAGGGACCTTGAAGGTCTTCTAGTCCAGGGTTTTTCAACCTTTTCACCCATTGTATCACTTTTAGGATATGGCAACATCCAAGTACCACCAGTCTCCTAGCAAGGTGTCAAAAACTTGATGACCCCCCCCAAAAGGAAAAAAGTGATAAAGTACAGGTAGTCCTTGACTTACAACAGTTTGCTTAATGACTGTTCAAAGTTACAATGGCACTGAAAAAAAGTGCCCCCCAAGCCACAGCTGAGCAAGACACCTGCCTGCCCACCCAGCAGCGCTCTTCCTCCTGTCCGAGGTTTTCATTGTTGTGAGCATTTCTGTTGGGGATTGGCAGTGAGGGTGGGTTGGGGAGTGTTTGGTTTTTATTCCACCTGTCTGCTGGGTGGTTGCAGCAGGTTTTGGTCACTTCACATGACCCTGGGACACTGTGACCGTCATAAATATGAATCAGTTGCCAAGCATCTGAATGTAAATCACAAGACCCTGGAGATGCTGCAACAATCCAGCTGATCGGCGCTTCTTCTGGGCTCAGCAGAAGCGCCAGGATCAGCACCAAGCTCCAGCTGGAGCCTGGCGCTGATCCTGGTGCTTCCACTGAGCCCCGAAGAAGTGCCAATCAGCTGGAAAGCGGCACTGATCCTGATGCTTCCGCTGAGCCCTGACAGCCCTGCAGCTCCAACATCTTTCACTCAGGCTTGTGCGGTGCTGCCACCGGTTCAGGTCATTCCCCTCCCCCGCTACCACTTTTCTAGGATGGTCACATACCACCAGCCAGGTGCCAATGTACCACAGGTGGTACCCGTACCACTGGTTGAAAAGCCCTGTTCTAGTCAAGCAGGAGACCCTATATCATTTCAGAGAAATGACTGTCACTGGAATACTGGAACACTGGTGGGAGAAGCATATAGTACAGAATAGAATATTCTTTATTGGCCCAGTGTGATTAGACACACAAGAATTTGTCCCCAATGCATAAGCTGTTGGTGCACATACAACCAACAAGTGATAAATCATGATCATAATCATAAAATACAATTATCATAAATTGTAAGATACAACATTCAGTGATAGTCATAAGATACTAAATAAAAGCAAGAAACATAAATCATAAGATACAAACAGCAAAATGATAGTCATAAGATGCTAAAGGAATAGGTAATAGGAAAGATGAGAAGGACAATATAATACAGCCCTACTTCATGGTTTGATATCCTAGGGCATAGGACAATGTTGTGGGAATTAAAAAGGCAGAGAAAATCCTCACCACGGATTGCAAAGAACATATATAGATTACAGCAACCCAAGAACTAATGGTCCAATGAAGACAGGTGGGGGTTTTTTAGTTCAACAAAATGATAATTCACAGAGCAATGAAATTGGGACAATGGCTCTTTAAATTTCCAGATGGCAACCCAGCAACCAATAATAATAATAATAAAGTTGGAAGGGACCTTGGAGGTCATCGAGTCCAACCCCCTGCTCAGGCAGGAAACTCTACACCATTTCGGACAAATGGCTGTCCAGTCTCTTCTTAAAAACTTCCAGTGTTGGAGCATTCACCACTTCTGGAGGCAGGGTGTTCCATTGGTTAATTGTTCTAACTGTCAGGAAATTTGTCCTTAGTTCTAGGTTGCTTCTCTCCTTGATTAGTTTCCATCCGTTGCTTCTTGTCCTGCCTTCAGGCGCTTTGGAGAATAGCTTGACTCCCTCTTCTTTGTGGCAGCCCCTGAGATATTGGAACACTGCTATCATGTCACCCCTCGTCCTTCTCTTCGTTAAACTAGACATACCCAATTCCAGCAACCGTTCCTTATATGTTTTAGCCTCCAGTCCCCTGATCATCTTTGTTGCTCTTCTCTNGCTCTACACATTGAAGCAAGGTGAGCATGGCACCAGGGACAAAAAAAAGCATGATGTCCTTTACTTTTCTACAGGTAGTCCTCAACTTACGACCACAATTGAGCCCAAACTTTATGTTGCTAAGTGAGAAAGTTGTTAAGTGAGTTTTGTCCCATTTTAAGATTTTTCTTGCCACATTTGTTAAGTGAATCACTGCAGTTGTTAAATTAGTAACATGGTTGTTAAGTGAATCTGACTTCCCCATTGACTTTGCTTGTCAGAAGGTCACAAAAGGGGATCAAATGCCCCGGGACATTGCGGCTGTCATAAATGGGAGCCAGTTGTCAAGCATCCAAATGCAAGTCATGTGACTGTGGGGAATCCTGCAATGGTAATAAGTGTGAAAAATGGTCACAAATCACTTTTTTCAGTGCTGTTGTATCTTCGAATGATCACTAAGCAAACTGTTGTAAGTTGAGGACTCCCTGTATTCACTGTGATCCAAACAGAAAAGGGGAGGGTGCTGTCACCTATAAAGATATCTTGAATGAGAAAGGAGAATTAAAAGCGAGAAATACCTTAAAGGAAGAAGGAATTGATCTGGAATGGTGGGCATATCTTCAAATTCAATCCAAATTTAATAAAGACAAAAAGGAACGGGGCATAAAGCAAGATTCTTCAGAATTAGATAAAATCTTATTTAGCAGGGAAGGCAAGACTATAAGTAAATTATATCAATATTTATTAGAGCAAGATATGATCGAGGAACAGGTGAAAGAAACGATGATAATTTGGTGTAAATATTTTGGGCACAATATTGATTTGGATATTTGGCAAAGTTAATGGGGAAAAAATCTAAAAATTACTCTAGCAACTTCCTATAAGGAAAACCTCTATAAGTTGTTTTATAGGTGGCACCTCCCTTCCACAAGATTAGCACGAATGAACAAGGGGAAATCCTCGATATGCTGGAAGTGTGAAGAGACCGTTGGGAATTACTACCACATGTGGTGGCAATGCCCAAAGGCACAAAAAATTTGGAACTTATTGAAGAAGTGGTTGGAAGAAATTTTGCAAATAGATATAGAAGACAAACCGGAATTTTTCTTATTGGGAATTATAGAAAGAAAATATAAGAAAGACACAAATTATTTACTACTGCATATAGTAACCGCGGCACGAATAGCCTTTGCTCAAAAATGGAAAGAGAAAGACACTCCAACCGAAGAGGAAATATTATTGAAAATTTTCAATTGCGCTGAAATGGATAGACTTACATGGGAACTCAAGGACAAAAGTGAAACCAAGTACTATAAAATCTGGGAACAATCTTATGATTGGATAGACAATAAGAGGGTAGCCAAGATAAATGTATAGTGCTAGAATAAAATATAGATTATAGACAAATGTATATTTAAAAGATAAATAGATATATAGAAATAAGGGAAAAAGTGTTAATAGTATATTATAAATAGTGAGCAAAGTTCAAGAACTATATGTCTATATGAGTACTAATACTATTATAAAATATTGGAAGATGTATGGAACGTAGCGGCAGCAGGGAGGGATCTAAGAAGGAGGAAATTATATACCTTCTTAGAGGGATGTTTTGTTAAATTTTTAGGGGGTTCAGGGTTGGCCCGAGGGGAACTTGGGGAGTCCTCTCGGAGGCCAAGGCCGGTCCCATCGAGGGGGCGCGGAGCGGTAAGGGAGGAAACTGGGGGGCTGGCGGAGGGTGGTGTGAT